GCCCGGGCCCGGGCGTCCCCGTCCCCTCCCCCTCCGCGCGCGCTCCCCTCCCCCTCAGCGCGGACCCCCTCGCGGCGCCCCCGGGTGGACGAGGCGGCCTCTCCTCCCCGAGGGCTTCGGGCCGTCCCCTGTTCCTCCGTCACTTCCTTCGTGGTTCTCCTTAAAGCGCAAAACCTGCGCCTTTGGAGGGCAGCGCCCGCCCGGACGCGCCTCTTGGGTGGGAAAGTCAGCGTTGCCTGCCCCTCCCGCGGGGCGGCGCCCAGGCCTCCGCGGCGCGGCGCGGCGCGAAAAGTTCATGAACTCTGAGTCGCCTGCTAGGAATGGGGCCTCGTCTGCTTGGAGCCCGCGTGTGGGTTTTTCTGGGGCGTGAGTGTCGGAAGATACTGGCGCCAGGTTTGGTTTTCTGGCCTTCCCGGCGGGCTGCGGCGGGCTGCGGCGAAGGCAGGGGGCGGAGAGAGTTCTGGGCTCCGCGGGAAGGGGAGGTTTGGTATCGCGAGGAGAGCGGCGCGGCGGGGCCGAGGGTCGCGCGCTCTCTCCCGGCGCGCCGGGGCAGCCGGCCGGAGACGGCTCTTCTGGCCTCACCGCGCCGGCTCTTCCTGCGCTCGTCGTCCCTGGTACCCGTCTTGGAGGAGAGGTCGCCTGCTTCCTTCAGCGCTGCCTGGACAAAGGGAGGCGTCTTAAAGAAATACACGAGAGAGACATTCGGGGAGCGTTGGCGCCCGCGCCCGGCAGAGGCTGCTCCTCGCCGCGCACCCTCGCGCGTGGCCGGCGCCGCGGTCCGAGCGTCCAGCTGTCCGCTCAGCCTCCCTGGGCGAGGGCCGGGGCTCCACTCGCTCCTTTCATCCACAAGGCAGTTTGTTTTTTTAAAAAAAGTCTCTGCCTTCTCCCTCCCCGCGCAAACACCCTGGGCCACTGGCCAGGCTCCATCCTTTGGCGGTGGCGTTTCGACCGAGATTCGCAGGAGAGCGGGGAATGCGCCCCCCGGAACCCGGAGGTTTTGGGGAGACCGGAGCGCAGAGGGTGGCTGGTTTCCTTTGTTCACTTCCGAGCCAGGGGGACCGGAGAGCTGGCTTCCCCCGTCCCGACTGGGTGGGAAACCGCTGGGCCCATAAATTCCGCTGAACGGGCTCTCCGGGGAGCGAGGCCGAGGAAGGAGAGGGAAGGGGGAGCCTGGTGGACGCTGGGCGTGGGGAGCACGCGAGCGCTCGGAAGGCGGAAGCAGCGAGGGAGGCGAAACCCCGGGCTAAGCGGGATCCCGTGCCGGCGCCCGGAGCCCAGGTCGGCGCGGGCCGCTCGCTGCGCCAGTGGGGCGGCGACGTGTCCCCTGCGGGGAAGGGGTGGGCTGCAGCGCTCGTTGGTGGGAAGTTCGAAAGCCGGCCTAGAGGGACTGAGGGGTGAAGCGGCACTGCACCTCTCCAGTTAGCTTTACCTGCGATCGGCCCCCCTGAGCCAGGCCCGAGGGCCCACTCCCGGATGAAATCGGGGAGACTGGCTGAGCTCCCTGTGTTTACTGAGGTACCCGGGCAGCCCCGGTCACCACCTCCATGACCTGTCCTATGTCTCTGAAACATCGGCCTCTCTCTGCTCAGGGGTAGGGAAACTCGACGTTTGTTTCCCGTGATGGAAACAGGCAGTTAACTTGAGTCACCCCAGACATCTGTACATTGGGCCCCGCATTGTCCCTATCAAGTCTGTATCACCAGGGAACGTTTGTTGGAAGACTTTCAAGCTTAGTTACCTCGAAATATGGTGCGGGTTGATGGTATTTAAACATAACAGCGTGAACAAAATTAAAAACATACTTTTTGTTTGTTTCGAACAAACCCTGCTCATCTGGCTTTCTCAAACCTAAAGAGAAAATGAAAATGAGATTATAGCTCCCCGTGGCAAGCCTTGGCTGTAGCTGCCCATTTCTCGGGTCTCCCCGGCCTCTTCGCCTCCCCCAGGGCCCTTGGGATGGGTGGGAGGGCAGAGCTCCTCCATTGGGGTTGGTGACAGATTGCGCAATGGCCCTTTCCTCCTTCCAGCCCCACTCCCTTCACCTCACACTTTTTTTTAACCATATGGTGTTGTCCTCTGTTTCTTAGGGAGAACACCGAAAACAATAACTCCTCCTCCAACAAGCAGAATCAACTCTCTCCGCTGGAAGGGGGCAAGCCGCTCATGTCCAGCTCAGAAGAGGAATTCTCACCTCCCCAAAGTCCAGACCAGAACTCGGTCCTTCTGCTGCAGGGCAATATGGGCCACGCCAGGAGCTCAAACTATTCTCTCCCGGGCCTAACGGCCTCGCAGCCCAGCCACGGCCTGCAGGCCCATCAGCATCAGCTCCAGGACTCTCTGCTGGGCCCTCTCACCTCCAGTCTGGTGGACTTGGGCTCCTAAGTGGGAAAAGACTGAGGCCCTGAAGGGATGGCTGAAGCAGCAACCAATCGCAGCAACTAGGGACACTTGTAAATAGAAATCAGGAACATTTTTGCAGCTTGTTTCTGGGGTTCTTGGTTCTTTGTGCAAAATGGAATGGTGGACTTTCACAGATACCTTTTTACAAATGAAAACCAACAGTGATACCAAGCATAGTCTCCCTCTTCTCTCCCAGGCTTCACATTTGCATTTCCCCTCCTGGTCCGGAAATCAGAAAAAACAAAAAACCTCCAAATAAACAAAAGCACCCAGTTTTGATTCTGGCCAAACCATGCACACACTTGAATAGTTCATTCGTTCTTTTCTTTTTTCTTTCATTCTTTCTTTCAAACAGGAATTGCAAATCAACCAAATTTTAATTATTCCCTTTATTTATGGAGAAATTTTAGGGAGAAAATGAGAAAGTGAGAGACAAAAATCAGAACAATGACAGGAAGAGCCTCTGGTCTGGGAGGGACTGGTTGCTTTCTTAAATCGAATAGGGAAATATAATCTTACAACTTTTCTTCATGGAAAAAATTAAGTTTACATTTTTCGTATTTAGTGTTAAATGACTTTATGTAGATTAAAATAAAAGAACAGTATTAGGGGGAGAAACAAGTGCCTAAATGTTTTAATGCTCTCTCTATGTGAGGCAGTTAGAAATAGAAGTGACCATTGGTAATACAACTATTTTTGTCAAATTTGATGGGGTTTTTTGGTGGTTGTTTGTTTTCTTGTTTTTTTTTTTTTAAATGACAAACTAAAAATGTACCAATGTGCAAAAAAAAAAAAAAAAAATTCCCTAATGCCATTACTTCTCATCCCCTCAGAGCTTTCATATCTGTAGCTTATTCCTGTTGAAAGGTTTCTTCTGTCCCTAGTTTCTAGCTTGCAAAAGTATGCCAACAAATCTGGCAATCTGGTATTTGTTATTAAAATAGCATGTGTTTTCAGGTTTCTTTTCTATTGTACCTAAACCAGTCTAAATTAAAACTTAGTAGAATATCAGGAGTATGATTCTGTTTCTCAAAGGTGAGTTGTGCATTGCTGTCACTGGGCCCTGGTTTTTGTTTTGTTTTGTTTTAATAAGTTCTCATGCTTTCTTACATAATAGTGGTCATGAATTGCTGGGTATTCTGAAAGCCATCCCCCGAACCAAGAGCAGTGACAAGGTTGTGTGACAAAAAGAGTGAATTTAGCTTTGGGGTATTTATTTATTTTTTTATTTACATAATGCAGTTTTGTTTACCACTAGCTCTTCTCCACAGCATTCATGTGTTAACTCAGTTCTTTTGTGTTAACAAGTTTATGATAAGACTGTGAAAGTAAAAGTAATTTATCTGCTTGGAAAAAAAGAGGGGGGATTTAAACGTTATGAGATAATTTGTACAAATAGAAAGCAGACCAGCAGGACAGGAGCTCTTTTGCAGTGCTGGAGAACTGAGTAGTGTCCAGAAAGTTCCCAGTAATTATGTAGGCTCCATGTTATTTTTGCCTGGGGCAAAACGATGTATCTTCTGTATCTAGCTCTTAAAAATTAGTGAAACAAATGGTATTATTTATTAAAATTTTACTCAGGATAACAGGATTGGCTGGCTTGTGCTTTGTAAAATATTGTTCCCCAGGGAGGGTCTATTTATTTTCTGACATGACAGTTTCATAATTTGTATTTTTCTCCATCCATAAGTGTCATCATTAATATATTCATTTCTTTTTTACCCTTTGCTATTGTTCCTGTCCTGATCCAGACTGAAGGATATGGGAGGAAATTAAGGCCTTCTTATATATGAGTTCTTTTCTTTTCTAACTGTCAAATTGTTTTCAGTTCAAGGGGAAAATGGTCACTGTACTTTGTAGTCATGTGCCCAAGGTGATGGACAGATGCGCACACAGCCAGTCTGAGCCCATCATTTGGGTTGGGAGCTCAGGGTCCCAGTGTCCCTTGTTAGTGTTTTGGATCATTAAGTCGGTGTTTATTTAAGTCACTAGGGTGTTTATTCTCCAAGTCTTGGGCCACGGAGAAATGCCACCCTCTGTGGGAGGGGCTCTCACAGGGAATCTCCGCACATTCTTCACATTCACTCCCCAAAACAAACACCCTGCACAAAGATAGCTTTCAATGACCCTGACAGTCTTCAAAAGACGCCGCGGAAATCTCTCTGGAAAATAAGGAAGAGCCAATTACTTTAATTTCTTACATGCCCTCTCTTCCTACCCTGATGACTACCCCCACTCTTCCCGCCGCTTTGCAGCGCTGTAGGCTCGTGGAGGTTCAGTCTCTCGGGGCGCCGGCCCACTTCCTGCTCCCTGGCTTGGTGAATCTTGGATATGTCTTCAGATCTGGCGAGGAGCAAAGAGGGCCGGCCCTGTAAAAGCACCCGTGATTACGGCTTGTAAACTCGTTAAAAGGACAATTTTCTGTCACAGCTATAAACTGCTTTGTAAAACCCTGGCACTCGATCCAGAGCGCGCATATTCCAGATGTGTTTAATAAGAAATTGCACAATATGCCTTTTTCCGCCTTCGTCCGCGCAGTCTGGCTAGAGGAAGGACAAGCAGGAGGAGGCGAGAAGGCTGGATATTACTCTTGAGTTTTCTTGGCAATCATTTTAGAGCGATCATTAGAACTAACCATATTTTTTTCTCCCTCGAGGAAATCTTCGAGCGCCAGCTGTTAAGGGACCTCCAATTTACCTTCTCGGCGTCAAAGTTTAACTGAATCAAGAGGCACTTTTCGTTTTTCCTGTGCAGATTTCATAACGATAGCCAAAAGTAATGAGCAGCGGCTTATAAGTAGTGTTCTTAGGACGAAACCTTACAGCACTTTGCCAAGTGAGATGAAAAACAAAATTTGGGAGCTTTTTTTTTTAACCTCTTAAATTTCAACACAGGATTCCTCGGCTCCGGCTGCCTGCTCGCCTTGACCTCTTGGCTGACCACAAAGCTTTCTAAATTCTCGGAGGCCAAGGGGTTTGGCCGGCAATTCCTGGGGTTTTGGTTTAACAGGTAGGGACTCAAGAGCCCCATAAACTCCAGGCGGGAAAAATGGCACCGCTGTTCTTGAGCCTCTTCGCCTGGTGGAAGCTACCAGGAGGAGGCCTGGGATGGCGCTTCGGACCGAGCGCTGGATTCGCCGAGCGGCGCCCCAGCTGCGCGGTTCTGCCCAGCGCGCCGAGCGCAGCACCTGCCCCGAACCCGCGCGGCGCGGCGCGGCCTGGCTCTGCTCGGCGGCTGCGGCTGGAGGGGCCTCGTTCGCCACCGCCCCCCTCCTCCTGGAGGACTTTGGCAAAGCCCGCAGGCGGGACTCCGGCTTGGGGATCCAGAGAGCGTCGCGTCGCGCGCTCGGCTGCAGAGAGCTGGGAGCTTATTCTGTCACTGCACTCTCCAGAGGACGTTCTCGCCATTCTGCGCCTGGAGGCGAGGGCATCGGTGCCACTGCCCTGTGCTGCCCGCCGGCCGGCGCAGAGCCTGCCCAGAGTTCACCGTGCAGACTCGCGCGTCGCAGCTCCGGGATCTGTGCGCTGCGCCAGGCGCGGGGTGCAATGGCCCGGCCCGCGAGGTCCGAGAGCAGAGGCTGCCACGCTGGCCTCAGGGTCAGACGACGGAGGAGGTCACAGCCCGAGTTCCTCGGGCATCGCAGTTGTCCCAGGCCCAAGTGTCGGGGTCGCTGACCTCTGAGTGAGGCGCAGGACACGCCGCTGTGGGGCTGGAGGCACGGGAACAATCGCCCCTGGGTGCCAGGACTGCAGCCCAGGTTTAGGAGCCTGGCGGGCAGGAGGCCTAGGCCCTGCGGCCACCCCCACCTGCCTTTCGGGCAGCACAGCCGGTTTCCTTCTTCGCTTCCTGGGGTCTCGCTTGGGCTTGTGGGACCCAAAGTCTCCGCCAGAGAGCTCAGCGGAGGGTGCTAGCCAGCCAGGGGGCCGTTTCCAAGCTGGTCGCTAGAACTTCCCGGCCTGGGAGTGAGGTCCTGGCTTCTGAAGTCTCTGGCAGGACAGAGCCGGAGCTTGCTACCTTGGTGGGGCCAGGTCGGGTCTCCCACTTGGCGGCGGGCATAGTCACCTCTTTTTGCGTATGTCCCTTTGGGGACCGCAAGGGGAAGGCAGCGGTGGAGTCATGCACGCTTCGGGTGGCGGGTTGCGCTGTGGCAGCGCAGGATTCGACCAGATTTTAGGCGGTGGGTGGTGTAGATAGGGACGGGTCGGGCAGGGTTAAATTGAGGGAGGTCGCTGGTGGCCCACCAGCTGTCTCCGCGGAATTTCTGGTTTTCTGAGCTTTCCCAGGGAGAAGCCTCTGGAAGCTCTCTTCCTCCAGCAATCCAGAGCCAGCGCGTAGCCCGCGCCCTGCTCACCCTCCGGCACGGCCTGCGGCGAGGGTGTGCCAGGCTCCGTCCCGCAGGGTGCACTCTGCAGCCTCAGCAGGCAGGGACTTATGCGCCCCTCCAGGTCACAGAGACCCCTTCCCCAGGCTGACTGAGGTCAGTGGGTACACCTGGGAGGGTGCCTGGAGGGGACCGCGTTAGATGGGAGATGGTTGAGCGGGCCAGGAACAAAAAGAATGAAAATTGTGGGCAAAATGTTGGCTTTCATCTCCTTGGAAAAAGTGCTGCCCTGCAAAGGCCGCATTTTCGCTGGTGTTTTAAAGCCAGCGCACACAAAACTTCGTTCCAGCTGATGAAATTGGAAACCTGTTCTCCTACTGAGGATGACAATCAGGGCTTTAGACGCTGTGGTCCTTTCAGACAGCGAGAAACAACACTGCAGTAGCATTTAAAAACAAAGGGAAGAGACTGCTGGAGGCGCGTGGACGCCAATTTCTTCTCCAGTCCCAGCTCCAGATTTTCTCCTTTTAACTTGTTAATAGACAGCTGAGATCCCAACTCTCAGCAGGTAGAGTACAACCACCTAAAGGACAGCTCCCTCCTCCTGCTGTGTACTGGGTTATTCCTCTTTTCCTTTACTATAATGTTGGAATGTTCTTGAAATCACATTTTCTGTGACAAAAGAGAATACAGAAAAGAAAAAAAAAACCCTTAAAAAAACCCCCAAACAATCTCATCTTTGAAAGAACACCTTAGTGTTCTTTCAAACACCTGAAGTGGCTACCCAACCATAATTAAGATGTTATTAGGTGGCATTGAATACTTTCCCTTCTTCACCAGCATGAATGATTGCCATTAAAAAGAAAAATAGATCCTGGTCCTTTACTTTCTATAACAAGGCATGGAAATGTATACCTCCTCCCTTCTTGTCTCCTGGCCTTCCTAGCTTTCTTAAGGTAAAAGATAAATGCTTTATGAGACCGACACAGGAGAAGGAGAAACACTTAGGGGTTAACACGCACAAGGCAAATTTATTTTAACGTTCTATAAAATTTATTTTAATTTGGGATTTAAAATTGATTATAGTTTTTAACATACCATGGCTTTTTTGGAAGGTGAGGTGGAGAGTTCAGGACCTCAGCTGATAGGCATATAGGATCTGAAAAACAGTCCTAGACTACATATTTTCACTGCCAAAAGACATTGTTTCAGGATTCTTGAAGAACACATTTCATAGGGCTAGTGAGTCAGCATCCTTCATAGAAAACCTGCAAATCCTAGGTTACATGTGTGCAAAATCAACACGTCACCTAGAACCTGAGAGTTCTTAATATATTTTTACAAACTCTACTATGCCCTCTCCTTTCTTTTATGCCTCCCAGGCAAGGCTTCAGCTGCTTTGCTAAAAGTCCTTATTTGAGTTGCCAGTTATCCAAGCGGTCTAAGTAGCAGGAAAAGACAGTGGGATTGAGTCCCCCACCCCAGAACAAAACAAAGCAACCCAACAAACCAAACCAAATCCACATAGCTGTGACATCTTTGGTTGGCTCACACATAAACACTATATTAAACTGTGAACGTCTGTATGTAGCAGTGTTCCCTTAGCTTTTATGTGTGTGGTAGTGGTGGGGGGTGCTGTGGTTGTTGAAGGGGAGCAGAACGCTACACTGATTGTAGAGAAAATGCACAT